CCAGGGCGCCTGTGACAGTTGCGGCAAGGTGGACATGCTGATCAGTGCACATGCATGTTTTGGCGCGGCAAATGCACGGATAATCCTCCGCCTCCAATGCCGGCAAGTGGTCGACCACAGCCACATTAGGATCATTGCCCGCGTGCGCGAGTTCGAGTTTCATCTTGCGGAGCGGTCATTTCACAGCGCGTTTCGATTGCGGAGGCATGCCAACAGGGACAAACACAACTCACAAAATTTGGGACACGAGCAGGTTGCATATATGATGGCAAAACACCAGGGGCCCAAGAAGGCTCACCTTTGGCAATATTCATTGGGGCTATCGTTCATCTCCCCCGCCATAACCCCACAGGCCGAGAAAACTGCGGAAACTGCTACGTCTGCTAGGCCTGTCAGTGCTGTTTCTTGCCCTCGTTCTCCCTCTCTCGGCCCCTCCATCCGTCTGCGTGCGCGTGTTGTGAAGGGTCTCTCTCGCCAGAGCTCATGGGGCTCTAATCGTCTGGGGCTTGCTGCATTGCGAAAATTGTAGGGCGACTCGATTGCGGCCGATGTGACACTTCAGGGATATCTCCAGTCAACAGCCCCGATGTGGTAGGATCGGCCGGGCGACGGCCCCGCGCGCGCACTGCAACTTGGCGCATCTATCACGACAGCTGACGCCAATAATTCTCCGCGCCCATCTGCAGATATCGATGTCGAGGGGTCCGTTGAGTCTCCGGAGCCCAAGCCTGACGCAAGAAGCTCCGCTTCCGCGGCCGCTCCCACCCAGGGCCAGATCGTTGATGGACTCTGTGCGGCCCTCGGTGCTCTCCTCCAGGGTGGCGAGAGGGCTGCGAAGGAGGCGGCCCTCGTGGAGCAGACCAAGCATGTCGTGGCCGAGCATCGCGGCACTGCCTCAGTCCGCCGATTTCGCGGAGACATTGCGATGGGCGATCTCCCCGATCAGATGACCGATGAGGGGTGCGAATCTCCTTCCGCCGATCAAGCCACCGATAGCGCTCGCGCGATCCCTGGTCAGGCCCTCCGTGATCTTGGTCGTGAGTTAAGGGCCAGTGGAAACACCCGCGAGCGGATTGCGACGCTCGCCCAGGCAGGGGCGCCCGATATCCAGGCGGATGCGCGGTGTTGCCAGAGACGACATTCCTGCCAATCTCGACGAGCACACCTGCGAGATGCGTTCGAGCGCTCCCCAGATCGGCGAGGCGGGTGAGGATGAGGTTGATTTCGATGTAGGCGTCAACAGATGGACCCGTGACAGTCTGAATGAGAACGTCGTGCGTCGCTTGATGGGCGCAGACGTCAGCGTCATATGAACCGGTCAGAAATCCGACGACGCAACTCAGAAGAACAGTCTCCGGAAGCTCGCTTTGAGGGCCACGATTAGGTATGATAGGTGGGTTGCCGCAGGAAGTCTTTTTGCACGCGCGTGCCGCGTGGCCGGCGATCGCGTCGATGGAGAAGATGTGGCCGCAATCATGTACCATCTTTGCCAAAAGGTTGTGCTGCGCATCCAGGAGTGTCCTGTCTTCTGGCAGCAGAGGACGCATGAGCGCATCATGCAATCAGCGACCTTACGCACTCGAAGACATGCAGCGGGCCATGCGCCTGCATGCGGAGAGTGTGGCTAAGGGCAATGCTGGGCGTAATGCTGCAGTACCTGGTGCAGTGACTCGTGCTGGGCGCATATCCAAGGGGCTCGCGGCCTTCCCCGCTCCGATGGCGGACGAGACGGGCTACGGCCGCGTGGCCTTGGCGCAACTCAGAGTGAGGCGCCGCGCTGCTGCGACCACTGTGCGGGGTAAAGCTGTTGGCAGGGGGATTGATCCTGTTGCCGAGCCCCGCTGTGCCCCGCCGCTCGCACCTCCGCCGCCGCGGCGCGATGCGCCTGCTGTGGGCGCTGCGTCTTCCAGCGGCCCTGCCCCCGGCGACGCAGACAGGAGTGGCGGGGGCAGGGCGCCCCCAGAGGCGTGGTGGCGCTACAACCTCGAGCACTGCCGGGACAACGCATGCCGCTACTGGTCGCGCTACCTGAACAAGTGAATCTACATCGATGAGATTGATTGTGAAGATATTTGGGTTGCTCATTTTACGAATCGTACTTAAGGAAAGCTGGGCAGTTTTAGAAATCTTACATGGGATCGTGAGTTCTACTCCCCACGGATGTTTGAGAGGTAAATGGTTGGGCAGATGCAGATGGCGACTTTTGATTTATATTTGAATGCTTGCTGTAATGATATGTAATATTGTGTCAAAGGCAGGCGTTGCAACTCCGTGTGCTGGTTTGGCGGCGTCGGGGCATGGGCGCGCCTGGGCAGGTCGCCCGCTGCAAACTATTGTATCATGTGAGCAGAATCGTAGACAATCGTATTATTTCATTTTCATTTTCGTGGGATGTCGCTTGCCTGTCGGTCCGACGCATGTTACGCATACTTCCTATCGCACATGATTCGGTCAACGTTGGTCCATGATAGTATCCACTTTGAACGATGCTTGGTTGTATTTGGCAAATATTTTGGGGCCTGGAGTGCCCCGGTCGTTGAATGGCTAAGGCTCGTATCATATTGATCGGTTGTTCTCACAATTTCGATCACGTGCGTAGCCTTGAATTCCATTATTTGTGTACTTCCGCACCCGCATATCTCGATTTGATGATTCTAGAGCATGGCCACTCTTGTGAATTAGTCGTTAATTCCATACCATTTTGATCAGTTGATGTCACGACTTCGATCGGGCACAGATGCTTGAATGCATGTTTTGAGGTCTCGCGCCCACGCATTGTGATCTACGTGAGATTTGACTGGGACATGCTCATTTCGCACGCACCTGCGCGCAGGATTTTGCGTGCCGGTGGAATCACGTGCGTCAGATGTTCTTTCGCAGTGCGCTTGACACATATATGTTCTTTTCTTCTCTATCTTCTCTTTCGCTCCCAACCTCGCAGCTTGTGGAGGCGGGGGGTCTTCGGGGTGTACCGGAGCGTTTTTGGGCGGCGCACCCTCGGCCCGCTAAAGGCGGGTAGGCTCCCCTAAGGTACTCGTGCTTCGTGGTTGGTCCTTTCTTACCTTCCTAGCCAAGTTGGGCCGTGTTTGGGGGGCGCAGGGGCTGGAAAGGCGGTTTGAGATGTCCTCGCACCTCTGTTCCCGAGTCCCGCTCTGTCTCCCGTGTGCCCGAGGCCAACGTGGGGCGGGCGGGATTCGGGGCGGTGTGTGTGTGTGTGTGTGTGTGTGTGTGTGTGTGTGTGCGTGTGTGTGTGTGTGTGTGTGTGTGTGTGTGGGTGAAGACCGCTCACCTCCTTTTTCTTTCCATTCATCCGATTCTTCCATCGTTTTGGCGCAGGTGCTGACATCTTGATCGCCCCTGTTCCGACGGGCGCACGGGCGAAAGAGTTTCTACTTTCTTCCGCATCGTCCTCGCGGTAGGTTCGGCTCATTGGTCGTTGACTTCCGTTCACATGATGTAGGGCGGGATCGCGCGCAGCGTTGAGCATCATTTGGGAGTTGGGCGCGTCCGGTGCCCTCTGCGACTCTCCGACGTGCAATGCCGGATATGCTCGTCGCCCGTATTTTGCAGGCGTACACCTCAGGCGATGCTTAAGAAAACTTAAGTTTTCGGCCAGAGTCTCGATTAATCCCAAGATTTTGATAGAAGTTCTGGGCTTTATTCAATCTCTGAGACTATGAGTTTCTTAACCCATGATTTCTTAAGCATTTCGCAGGGTGTACTGATGATCTTCAGGACGCGTGCTAGTCCACTGCGTCCTTACCCCGTTCTGCTCCGGCGGCAGCGCGCAGCCTGCGTCGGCCTTCGCTGCGCTGCCCGAGCCGCACCCGCAGGGCTTCTGTGGACAAAAACGCACGCTGACGCCAACGCGCGTCCTGAGGATCTTCGAGCGCAGAGAATCGAGTGGCCCCCGCCAGACGTCCCGACTTTGGGGGCACGCCCCTCAGGAGCCAAGAAAAATCTTTCCCCGCCTTCGATTCGACGTCCTTCGGGGGACATGGAGGGAGAGAGAGAGTCGGACGGGGCCAGGACGAGGATACATTCCTTTAGAGCGTTTCGCACCGCTGTCCGAGCGTTGGGCGTTCTGAGGAGGCCGCGGCGCCCGAGACATCCTCCAGGGCCGCCAGACCTCACACATTTTCGATTTATTCTCACCCGATTGTATCCTCGTATTGGCTTCGCCTTCGTGGATTGACACGAGTCGAAGAGTCGACGGGCATCGAGTCGACAACGGGGGCGCGGCTGCACAACGGCGTGGTAAAAAACTCGGCCCGAGCTCGGATAGCGAACGCCGTGAGGCACCACGGCCTGGGGGCGGCTTCTCATCCAGAGCCGTCGCTCCCCAGAATTGGTTTTCCATCCAAAACAGTTTTTGACGATCCTCCTCCTCCTCCTCCTCCTCCTCCTCCTCCCTTTGCTTGCTGCTCTTCCCTTCTCCCTGCTGCTCCCAGCTCATCGGCGATATATTTGGGAGAAAAGAAGGTGCCCTTTTCGGGCCCTAAAGGCCCCCTGTGGGGCTTGAAAGGGCCCCCCATCAGAGGCTCTAAACGGCTCCTTTTCGGCAGCCCTCGCTGCCGTTTTTGTTTTATCGCTCCCCATCCGCGCCCATAGAGCCAGTTGTTTGACGATCCTGGGGCCTGGTAGGGGTTCCTGGGGGCCGAAAGCGGCGAAAAATCCCCCCTCACCGACGATGACGACGACGACGACGACGACGACGACGACGACGACGACGACGAGGACGACGACGAGGACGACGACGACGACGACGACGACGAGTACGACGACGACGACGACGACGACGACGACTGCGACGGCGACGGCGACGGCGACGGCGACGGCGACGGCGACGGCGACGGCGACGGCGACGACGACGACGACGACGACGACGACGACGACGACGACGACGACGACGACGACGACGACGACGACGACGAGGACGACGCGAGCATGCCTGGGGGCGTGGGGCTCAGGCTGCCCCCGCCGCCCCCTGCGCGCAGGAGCTCGACTCCGCGGGCTCCAGCGACGGCGAGCCCTCCGCGGCCTCCCTGCAGGCCGCCCCGACCGACCCACAGCGCCCCGAGGGAGGAGGCGGAGGAGGAGGAGGGAGGAGGAGGAGGAGGAGGAGGAGGAGGAGGAGGAGGAGGAGGAGGAGGAGGAGGAGGGAGGAGGAGGAGGAGGAGGAGGAGGAGGAGGAGGCGGAGGAGGAGGAGGAGGAGGAGGAGGAGGAGGAGGAGGAGGAGGAGGAGGAGGAGGAGGAGGAGGAGGGAGGAGAGGGGAGGAGGAGGGGGAGGAGGAGGAGGAGGAGGAGGAGGAGGAGGAGGAGGAGGCGGAGGAGGAGGAGGAGGAGGAGGAGGAGGAGGAGGAGGAGGACATAAGATAATAAAATATAATAAAGCCCGTGGAGACCAGGTCAAACCTGGGCACGTCCTTACATTCAAGCATGCCGCTTCGCGACAGCACCACAAACATGTGGAAGCCGAGGGCGAGGAAGACAATGATGAAGTGCACCCGCGCGAATGCCGCCCGCCGTGCGGAAACTGCCCCTCCAGCAATACGCCCAAGGTATGTGGCGAGCTCACGCTTCTTGCAACCACCAGCAAAAGAAGACATTTATATTACACACCACGTGAAACACCCTGCTGCAATACTGTACCAAAGCCGCCAGCCATGACCACCACAACGCCATCACGCCGCGTAGACAAAACGCGAGCGCATACGATGACAAACACCGCCAGCACCAGCACGACAACGAAGAAGAGCCAGGATGCGAATGACACGCAGAAAGCCTAGGCCGAAGGCCACATCCACACCGCGACAAACACACTTGCCTCCACCAGCCGCCGATAAGGCACAAGGGCACACCAGGCCCTGGGCGAGGTGAATGCTAGCCGCCACGGCTCGTCCCTCGAGCCCTGCATAAAATTGCACTGAACCACTCCCAACAGAAAACGACTGAACAAAGACCAATCCAGTAAAAATAAGCCCAGCCCCGCATTGTAATAACAAAAACGCCTCGAACAAACATACCGACATCATGATCGCACCGTGCACCTGCACGCCCAGCAGTCCGCTAACCAAGAAGCACAGCCCGATGAACACGAGGAAAACCACCTGGAAAGCGAGGAGCTGCAGCATGCACTCGAAGTGGGAGGCATACGAATTCAACCCGGCGTTGCCAGGAGCACCTGGACCTCAAGCGGCAGGGAGCGGCGCACCACCCCACATTAAGCCCCGGGACGACGGCCGAGCGGCGCTGCGGGGGCCCACTCGAGCCGACGTGGCTTGAGAGAAGGAGGAGGAGGAGAAGGAGGAGGAGGAGGAGGAGGAGGAAGAAGAAGAAGAAGAGGAATTATAATAATAAGAATGAGAAGAAATTGTAATAATAATAGTATTAATAATAATACTACTAGCAATGATAATAATAATAATACGAATACTAATCATAATAAGAATACTAGTAATACTACTAACAACATATCAATACTTTCAGTAATAATAATAATACGAATAAGACAAATTATAAGAAAACTAAGACTGATACAAACATAGTAGTAATACTACTAACAATAAGTAAGAATACTACTAATAAAAATAATAAGTATAATAATACCACGGCTAATATGAACCAGAATAAGAATAATAAATCAACTAAAAAAATGATATTATTGTGAAGAAGAATAATATTAATAAAGTTCATAATGCGAATAATAATCATACGAACAACAATAATAATACTATTAGTATTAAAAGTCAGAATTCGAATAATGATATTACTACTAATAATAAGACGAATACGATTAATAATAAGAAGTCGAATCATAGTAATATTAAGAATAAGACTACTAATAATAGTAATAAGACGAAGAATAATACTAATCATACTAAGAAGAATATGAATAACAATCATCATACTAATATTACTAATAATAATCATAATAAGGAGACGAATGCGAATGATACAACGAAGAATAATAATACTAATGATACTACTAATCATAATACTAAGAATAAGGCGAATAAGAATAACAATATTAATAATAATAAGAAGAATAAGACAAACAATAATAATCATAATAATGCAAAACATAAAACAATACGAATAATACCACTAATAATGATAATAATACGAATAATCATAATACAAAGAATACTAATCATACTAAACATAATAGTAATAAGAAGAAGAGTAAGACAACGAATACTAGTACTACTAATAATAATAACAATAAATATAATATTCATAATCATAATAATAACACTGATAATCATAATACTAATACTAAGAACTAAACGAACAATACTAACACGAATACTAATATTATTAATACTACTACTACTACTACTAATAATAATACTAATATTAATAATGATAGTAATACTACTAATAATAATATTAATAACAATAATAATAGTAATACTATTACTACTACTAATAATAATACTTATAATAACAACAGCAGTAGTAATAATAATACTACTACTAATAATAATACTAATAATACTAATACTAATACTAATACTAATACTAATACTAATACTAATACTAATACTACTGATAATAATAATAATAATAACACTAATAATAATAATAATAATAATAATAATAATAATAAATAATATAATAATAATAATAATAATAATAATAATAATATAATAATAATAATAATAATAATAATAATAATACTAATAATAATGACAACACTAATGAAATAATAATACTAATCATACTAATAATAATAATGAAAAACTAAGAATAATAATAATAGGAGGAGGAGGAGGAGGAGGAGGAGGAGGAGGAGGGAGGAGGAGGAGGAGGAGAGGAGGAGGAGGAGGAGGAGGGGAGGAGAGGAGGAGGAGGAGGAGGAGGAGGAGGAGGAGGAGGAGGAGGAGGAGGAGGAGGAGGAGGAGGAGGAGGAGGAGGAGGAGGAGGAGGAGGAGGAGGAGGAGGAGGAGGAGGAGGGGGAGGAGGAGGAGGAGGAGGAGGAGGAGGAGGAGGAGGAGAGGAGAGGAGGAGAGGAGGAGGAGGAGGAAGGAGGAGGAGGAGGGGGGGGGGAGGAGGAGGAGGAGGCACGATGGCTTCTCGGCATTCTCTGCCTCTGGGGGGCCCTCGCTGGGCCTCGGGGCCGTCGAAGAGCGAGTCGGGATGACCAGCCGGTCCTGGGGAGGGGGTCGAGACTCGGGGGGTCGACGTCGTGAACCACGATTCAGGCAACGCGATGGGCGGCGGGGGCAGGGTTCAGAACTCGTCGCAGTCGTGCCGAAGTCCGAACCCTACCCCCGCCTCCCATCGATTCGGGAGAACCGGGTGGGGCTCGGATGTCGCCATCAGTAGCGACAAGCCCCCCGTCGCGTTTTTTTTTTCCACGACTCGAGGGGGGTCTGAGGACCCCGACTCCCGCGCGACGCGCCACATCTCGGCGTCGCCGCGCGGCTCCCCTGGGAGGAGGGCGGCCCTCTGGCCCCGGGCCGCGCCGCGCGAGGGGCGCGCTGCTCCGCCCGCCCCCTGCGGGAGTCCCCGGGGGCAGGGCGGTCTCGCCCCAGAGCCCGCTCGGAAGCAGGAGCCTGGCCCCTCCAGAGCTTGGAGCGGGCGGGGGAAGCGAGGGGGGGGGGGGGAAGTGATTCGACGAGGAGGTTCGGTTGTCCTGATCAGCCCTGCAGCGAGCACGACTCCAGGGTCGACGGTGTGGAGGAAGCCCACCCCCAGGCCTACTCTGGGCGATGCGGGCTGCCTCATGAACTGCAGCCCTGAAGGGCATACCGAAATCGTAGCTGAGAACGGGGGGGAAGTGAGAAGGAGGAGGCCTTCTCTCGGCGGCGAGCCAAGGGGGGAAGTGAGCAGGAGAAGGCCCTCCCAGAAGGCGGCGGCGGCTTCCCAGAGAAGCTCCCTGCAACTTCGGGGAAGGCTCAGCGGACTCCTCGGAAGAGCGGGGGACGTCCTAGCCTTCTGGGAAGGCCCGCCCCTTCTCAGAAGGCTCCCACTTCTCCTCCTCCTCCTCCCTCCTCCTCCTCCTCCTCCTCCTCCTCCTCCTCCTCCTCCTCCTCCTCCCCCTCTCCTCCTCCTCCCCCCTCCTCCTCCTACTCCCCCTCCTCCTCCTCCTCCTCCTCCTCCTCCCCCTCCCCCTCCTCCTCCTCCTTCCCCCCCGGGCTCGCCGCCGCTTCTCAGAAGGAGAATGGCCGCCCCGCCCGACCCGCGGCGCTCCTGCGGGGCGGCGCGGCGCAGCCGCCGGCCTCCCCTCGGCCGCCCCGCCGCCCCGCAGACTGGGGCTCCTCGGTCGCCGCGGAGCCGTCTCTCATGGGCCTGTTTTCCACCACCACCACCATAAGTTGGAGGGAGGAAGGAGGTAGAGGATAAGGAGGAGGACGAGGAGAAGGAGGAGGAGGAGGACCCCCTCCCCTCCCACTTATGGTAGTGGTGGTGGAAAACACGCCCACCAGTCTTTGGGTGGGGCGGCCACCTGGAGGTGGTCTTGTCAGGATTGTCTTCCCCCACGTCCCGAAGTGGGGTGCCTCCTTTGTTTCTGGGCACCCCACGCGCAGGAGATCTCCCCCCCCCTCTTCCTCCTCATCTTCGTCGTCGTCGTCGTCGTCGTCGTCGTCGTCATCGTCATCATCATCACTACCACCATCTCCATCATCATCACCATCATCATACACATCATCAGCATTATCCTCATTCTCATCATCATCACCATCATCATGATCACCATCGTCATCATCACCTTCTGCATCAGCATCGTCGTCATCATCATCATTATCTCCATCATCACCACCACCACCGTCATCATGTTCAGCATCATCGCCGTCGTCGTCGTCGCCATTATCATCAGCAGCATCACCATTATGAGTATCACCACCATCATCGTCAAAATTATTGTTGTTATTGTTATTCTTATTATTCGCATCATCACTTTTTAACCTTTCCTATCATCATCATCATCATGTCGTAATGATGCGCGCATTAGTGCTATCATAGTTCTTTAGTATTGTGAGCATCTTGTGCATTCTTACTATCATCATTACGAATCTTGTCTATCGTATTCTCAGCAGTATG